GGAGGTGATCGAGAACCGGCCCAACCCAGATTGGGGCGCGTGGCCCTTACACCTGAACGTGGACGCCGCGGACGTCGCCGCCGCCGACGAGCTCCAGATCCAGCTGGAGGTCCCCGCCCCGCCCTGGCTAGACTTCTCCCGCGGCATCGGCGGCTCGATCAGTAACCAAGACGGAGGTTCAGACATGCTCGCGGGCGGAGAGGCAGAGAGAGACAGAGGGAGAGAGAGTGATCAGCGATCCTTGTGAAATCACATAGTTTGCGAAGCAAGAGGGCGCCAACCCCGGTTATGTCACTTGGATGTTCTGGATTTCTGGTAGACGAATCCCAGAACACTTGTGCATTACTTCGGATGTGCGTGTGTGTTTTTGGGATTGCTGGTGTTCAGAGCTCTTGAGGGCTGCAGCGTGATTTGTTGTCGGAGGTTGGGAAATCCCCAAAACATAAAAAACATTCAATCAACTCCCACGGTGTTTGGAATTCTCATACAAGGACTCCCAAATATCCCAATGAAGTCACTGGGTCTGGTGCCCCCTCACTCCGCGAATTATGTGAGTTCACAGGGATTGCTGCTTTTGGTATATCTGTCTCTCTCTCTCTCTCTCTCTGTCTCTCTGTCTACCTGCCTGATCGGAAGAGGAAGAGGAGGAAGAGGAGAGACGAACACAACGACTGGAGTAGGGGGAAGAGCAGCAGCAGGATGGTCTGCAGTATAGAAGGAAGAGGAGGATCAGCAGTAACAGACAGAGGAGGATCAGAAGACGGAGAAAGCGTAACAGGAGGAATAGAAGGAGGAGGAGGATGAGGAGGAGGAGAAGAGGTGAAGACGGAGTAGCGAACGAACGGAGAGGAAGAGGAGAGACGACCATCGTCAAAGGAAAAGGAGAAGATCAGTGGGTGTTGGGGGGCTGCAAACACACACCTATATATACACACATATATATATATATATATATATGTACATACAGATTTAATATAAGTGCACCTACATCTATGCATCTGTATGTAAAGAAATCTACATATAACTTATACATATATACACCTCCGATGTTCGAACTGACCCTTCGTCGAGGTCGTCGCCCCCGCGAGGTGCGACAGCGGACGCTCGCGCCCATATGGAAGGGCGACGACGTGCTCGGCGTGGTGCGGGTGCCGCTGCGGGACGTGCTGCAGGCCGCTGTCGTCAGCGCCGTCGTCGGCAGCGGGCCAGCGTCGTTCTCGTCCTTAGCCCCGTTCTGCTTCTACTCACCCAGACTTGCTCGCGTCGTGACAGCAAGCGCGGCGGAGTTTTTGGCCGTCTTCGGCCTCGGTGGGCACTCGCCAGGCAGCGGGGCATTCCACCACCAATTCGGAATGCAAAGTAATTCTTCGGAAAAGGCTTTGGGACCTCGGGGATCGCGCATTGACGAAGTCAAGGCATCGCATGTATGGGAACCGCGCCGTCGTCCTTGATTGCGTCCTCCTCCGCAGAGGGCGACGAAGAGGCGCATGCGGGGGACGAGGACAACGACTCGAAGAAGAACGTAAACGCTCGAACATGACCGTTCGGAGGTCCTCGCGGATTTTGTAGTTCAGCGCTGCCCCCCCCCCCCTAGCGGCGTCTTTGGCGCCGCCCTTGACGCGTTTCGCCCGCCAGGGAAAGGGGGTCCAGCGCCAGTCCAAGACATCCGAGCGGACCTCCGACAGTGTATGTTAATGTGTGTTGGTTCCTCTAGGCCACGGACGAGGAGAACGACGGAGCGGAGGACGAACGATAGACGAGGAGTAGCTAGCCCCCCTCCCCCCTCCAGCTAAGCCCGCGAGTGGAGCAGGAGAATGAGGCGGGTGAGTCTGGGGCGTTCTTGGGCTGTCCGGGCAGCTGGCGTCTCGGGCTCCTCTTTAGCCATATTGGGCCGTCCTGCAATCGGGCCCTCTCTGTGCCGTCTCGGCGCCTTCTAGGGGTTGTCGGAAGCTGTCTTGGCAGTTTCTGAGTTTTTCTTGGTCCTCCAAAGCATGTCTGTGCGTTTTTTGTTCAGCACCTTGCTGGTGAAAACGATAGCACGGAAAGCGATTCCCGGATCGCTTGATTCTTTTGACTTTCTCGTTTGTTGATTCCCCGAGTCTCCTACCGAATTGGCCGACTCCCCGACTGTTGATTGGCCGATAGGCCAGCCCGTCCCACGGAATGCCGACATCCCGATTTTTTTGACTCTCCGAGGTACGACCATTATTGTGTTGTTCCACATGCCTTCTCGAAATGCTTGGACATCTCCTGCACGAAGACCGCGCGTCATCCAGAGTATGGTTGCGGGTTCCCCCCAGCCCACAGCCACTGTGGAAGCCACTGAAGGAACACATCATAAAAAGCTCGCTGCGCTGATACTGCGCTCATTGCAGCGAGATGTTGGCCAGCCGTTCTCTTCTGATGTCTCCCCGATTTCTGGACACTCGGCTCCGCCAGGGGCCTTGCCGAAGAGGCTGAGTGTGGATTTCTTGGCCGCGGCCATGAAATATTCCAGATGTCATGGTCCCCTCTTCCTCTCTCAATGCGTCCCCTGACCCCCTCTGCGTCTGCGCACATGCCTCGGACCCGCGGGGGGGTGGTCCCGCGGGAAGAGGCGGGACAGAGGAGAAAGGACGTGGTGGTGGTGGTGGTGGTGGTGGAGGAGGGGGCAGGACGAGGAGGGCGAGGAGGACGGGAGGATGAGATGGAGGACGAAGGGAAGAGGGGGGGGAAGGCGTGGGAGGGAGGAGGGGGTGAGGAGGCGGAGGATAATGAAATGAGGTGGGGGAGAAGGGAGGGAAGAGGAGGATGAGGGGATAGATGATACATATCCCAAACCTTAATCAGTTAAATCGCCAAGTGAAGTATCGCAAGGAGGATGGTTGAATGAACGGAGGACGAGCGGGACGAGAAAGGGGAGGAGGAGGAATGATAAGAGGAGGCGTGAGGACTAAAACCAGAGGGACGGATCGCGAAACAGTAGCCTGAGGATAAGCAGCAGGAGTATGAAGAGAAGCGGGGAGGGAAGAGGAGGAGGAGGAGGAGGAGGAGGAGAAGGTGATGCATGGGAAGTCGGCAAGACAAACAGTTGGGTTAGGAGGCGGCCAGACGGGTCGGGGGCTTCTCCACGCTGTCAGGCCGCCAAGGTCGCCAGCAAGCCCCTGGCCCTGAAACGCATGCGGCTGGAGGATAGGCCGCGGCGTGGGGACCGAGCTGGGCTCGGTTGCCGTCGTCGTCCTCCTCCACCTTCCTCCTCTCTCACTCCTCTTCCTGCCGTCCTCCTTTTCCTTTTTTCCTTAGACCACTTGGACCTAAGTGTTTTGCTTGAGCCAAGGCGTCCGCCTCTCACGTGTTAGGGGCACCAGCACCCACAGTCTTCCTGCACCTGCACATTCGCTTGCGCACTCTGCACTCAGGCGTTCGCGCACATTGTAATTAGTTGATTGTGTCTTGCTGGCTGGCTAAAGTGACGCATCATTCATCAGCATGGCCAAGGGACAGAGGTTCGGCAGTCAGACGAAGGACGGCACTGCCGCAGACGCCTTCTCCACCGACCTTTGGGCGAAATGCGGCCACTGTGGCCGCAGTGAGTGGAATTGAGTCTGAGAGATCCGTGTGCAGTGGCTGCAACAGGAGGGCCGTCTTGTACAAGCCGCCCGCCACCACGCAGCCAGGCATAGGCAGCGACCGCCTAGCTGGGTCCCTCCCTCATGATCCTGGCATCGCTCGGACGTGTGCGTTTTTTCCTCGGCGAGGACCATCGAGGAGCATCCTTGATCATTTGGCGAAAAAGCCACGCACGAAACCGAAAAAAACACAGGGAATGGACGTCCGAGCGATGGCGAGCGCCTAGTTGGGGCCCTCCCCCAGGGTGGGCCCAGGACGCCAGTGGCCACTCGAGGCTGTGCTGAAGATGGTCCATGACCCGGCAGCGAAGCTAGGCTGCGGCAGCCCACCCGTCCCTCTCGGCGGAGGAGGCTGTGCGGCGAGCCGCGTGGGCTTGGCGCGACGCGCCCGGCAAGTTCAGCCAGGCCGCGGAGCAGGGGAGGCGCTGCGAGGACAACCTCGCGACGTGGCAAGAAGCGCGAGGAGGAAGCGGCGAGGACGCTCGCTGTCGCCGAGCTCGGCAGGAAGACGGCGGCTGCGGCGCTGGCCAGGAGGGTATGGCAAGTGCCCCAGCGGCCCGAGGACGGCGCCAAGCAGGCGACGGATGCGTTGGATGGCGCCGCCCCGCTCCGCGACCTCACATGGGACACCAAGTGTTCCGGACATGCCGACGACCTGGACTGTGGCGCGGAGCAGAAGGCCGAGCGCAAGAGGATCGAGCAGGAGGTCCTCGCGGCCTAGGACAGCGCCCATGTCAAGGCGGAGCAGGTCGGGGGTTGCGCAGGAAGGGCACCGAGCGCATCGCCAAGGACCAAGCAGCGCAGGGTTGACCCCGAGGAGGCCGACGGCGAGAGCGGGCCGTCCGTCGAGGAGGCGCCCCAGGGCGGTGAGGCTCCAGCGCCAGGTGCGCCCTCGGAGGAGCAGGTGACGGCGGAGATGGCGCGCGTCTGCAGCGTTGCGGCCGCAGTCTTGGATGCAGTTGAGTGCGCAGAGCCCTTGGCCACTGAGGCGGCAGACGAGGAGCTGCGAGGGGCGGCGGTGGCTGAAGGAGTAGCGACGCCTTCGGCCACCCAGCCGCCCATGTCGCCGGCCGCGGCGTCAGCTGCTGTCTCGGACCGAACTCTTGGGCCCCTTCAGCGACCCAGCCTGTCTTCGACACCATCATTTCAAACAGGTGAGTTGAGACCCGCGCAGGCTGCCACACTCGGACGAAGTGGGCCAGGAAGGCGAGAGCGGCAAACAAACGCTCCAACGACAATCCATCTCGACGGACAGGGAGGGCGACTTCGGAGGCTTCTGAGGGGAAGGCCAACGAAGGAGGGAAGCTGCCCCTGCCCGACGAGCACTGTCATGTGAGCAGGTTCTTTCCGAAGTCGTCAGCTCCGCCAAGCTACTGTTTCGAGGGGCCAGATTTCCTCGAAGGCTTCCTGCCAGTTCTCGTTCATATTGCTGGTTTTCCGATCGTGGTTGCGTTCTTCTACGCTCATTATTCGGTAGGCGTTGGTGGGCAAGACGGCTCTCGATTGCATAGAACAGAGAGTTCCTCAGGACACTTCAGCTTCTTTAGTGCGTGGTATGTACATTCGAGATCGATGAGCTTGGATTTCGGCGTCCAGCGTGGCAGCAGGCGTTGTCGTTGATCAGCGAGTTGGGAATCGTTAAACTCAGCCAACAGTCATGTGCTACACAACTGGAATCCGTGCGTGTGAAAAAGGTGGGCAGTACCAGCATTCATTGGCATTTCTAAGCAAGGTGTTGCAGAAGTTTTGGAGCCAAGATTGGTAAGTTATGGTGCTGCAGTCAGCGCTTCGGAGCATGATGGGCAGTGGTAGTACTCCGACCTCCATTCAACGATGTATTCGGAGACAGCCATGGCACCGGTCCTCACTTGGGGCATTCGGCACTGTACAAGGCAAAGTTCGAGGGGGATCCCATCTTAAGGCATGGTGGACAGGCACAGTCATCGTTAAACGAGTTACGATGTGGTGCAGCGCGCCTTGGTAGAACATTGTTCGCCCAGCCAAATTCAGCGAGTTCGAAGGTGGGGCGGTGGAGTACGTCGCTGCTACAGATAGCAGCCACAATGCTCGAACCGATGCACGAATGAAATGGGCAGGCTTCCAGGGCAGATGCTGCCGTGCTGACGTTGTTCAGCGAGTTACGTAAGGCAGGCGATCAGGTCGCCGGATTGTTGTCTCGGCGAATGCACAGGCGCGCGCAATCGCCCACACGCCTCCGTTCAAGCGCCTCGGCCTGGAGACCAGCGCTGTGGACAAGAAAGCGTAGACACCCGTGTCTGCGCCGAACCCGCAGGCTGGCCCTGGCCTTTCGGACAGACCCACGTGAGTCATTGATTGGTGCAGTGTGTCGATGGCTTTGCTGAGTTCCGCGCTCAGCTCTCCAAACCTCCTGCTCTGTGCTTTTGCGTTGCATAGGGCACTCGTTGCGCGCCCCCGTTCCCCCACCTCCCTCCTCCTACCTCTTGCTTGCCACCTCCTGCCTCATGCCTGCATGCTTCCTACCTCCTGCGTGTCGCCCACTCGCCTTTTTCGTGCGCTCTTGCGAGGCCCAGCACAGTGGTGTCAGACGCGCATCCAGACTAAACCTCGCGGCTCCCTGGAGATGTGGCCACCTGCACAATCGTCGCCACTTTCGTGGGCTCCTGGCTGTCCGTTGTCATTCCCAGACCCCGCCAGCGCAGAACGTTACGTCACCAGGGGGGGAGGGGCGGTGCGGGCCCAATGACGGCCGTCACACCGAACAATGTAGAGACACGCTCCAGGTCAGGCGCCTCTCCTGCTTATTCTTCGGGGTCCACGTTGCGGGGGATAGGTCCTGAGGGGGTCCAACCGTCCATCTATCGCCGATAGCATCCCGATGCCCCACTCCACCCAGGAGCGTGCGGCTCCACTCTCGGGGGGCCTGGCGCCGATCTGTCGGCGATGCACAGTCGAAACCGATGACAGGGATGGGCAGCCCTCCCAAGGGCAACCCTGCATCCTTGCCTCCTCGGCCCATCCTTGACCACCCTCGATGGCCGGCCCCGCCCGCAGAGCCTCGGCACGGGCGCGCACGCGGGGCTCGCGCTCTCACCGCGCCTTCGCGCCATCCGTCTCCGACGGTGTCGGCGATGCCTCGCCGCTCCGAGGCCGACGCTTCCCCCCCCCCCGAGCCGGTCCTCCCCCGTCTTGGCATCGCTCGGACGTGTGCATGTTTCCTTCGGCGAGGACCGTCGAGGAGCATCCTTGATCATTTGGCGGAAAAAGCCTCGCACGCAACCGAAAAAAGCACAGGGAATGGACGTCCGAGCGATGGCCAGCTGTCGTTCGGGGAGGCGGGGCAGGCCCGCTGGCGGCCGTCACGCCGGGGCGCGCTCCAGGCTGCTCCGGGTTTCTCCAGAAGCGCGGGGGGGGGGAGGGCGTACCCCCCCCCCGACGGGGGTCAGCCTCGCCTCGTCGTCGCGCCGCGACGGGGGTCAACCTAGCCTTCGGCGCGCGGCGGCTGCCCGCGACGGGGGTCGATGCGTGGCTGTCGGCGGGGGTGGCGCCCCCCCCCCCACGCTTATCAAGAAACCCGGCGTAGGCGCTTCCTGCTCATTAGCGTGCAGCTCCTGGGAAGCCAAGTTCAGCATCGGCGCTGGCAGATGTCCGTGGCCGAAAACCGGCTTCAATTCGGCACATTGTCGTCTGTTGTCGCATAATCCTGCTTAGGCCGGCCCCGTCCGGCTTAATCTTGGGCTCCATCTTGACGATTCCCGCGTATTGACCCATCAATCTAGTTTTGTATAATTCATCGCTCCGACGAAGATCTCCCAGGAGCTGTCTCCCGATGCTCGTTCTCCGGCAGGACTGCACCGGCAGCGACCTGTCGGTGAGCTTGCTCTTCCAGCCCGTGCCCGCACCCGAGCCCGAGCCAGACGCAGAGGTCGCCGAGGGGGCGCTGGGCGACCTGGTGGAGAAGTTCGGGCCGCGCCTTGGGGGCACAAATCTAATCCCAGACATGCTCGCGTCGTAAATTCGACGGGAAGCACGGAGGTCTCCTGGGAAGCAGTATTTTGACAGTTTTCGGCACCCTGGACCGTCACAAAATTCCAAGGATGAACAACGAGCCCTGGGCCCCAGGGGAGCGCCGCTCCAAGCAATCCGCGCGGACCTCCGAATGTGTAGATTGTTTTTCTTGTAAGATGGTCCAGGCCTCCCAATTGGGGCCATAGCAGGCAGGGCCAGAGGATAGCGCTTCGATGTGGCTCGGTGTGGAGCTCGCCTTTATTCCCCACGCCGATACATTGCCGACTTCGGCGATGCATGGGCGATGCGGCGCGACCCTCCGATCCCATCCACTCGAACCCAATTCTGGAGGTCTCTAGATGCGGTGGTGGCGGGGGGAAGGTGCAATCATATGCGCGTGCGTTTAAGGTTGAACGCCGCCCGTGGCCCAGAATCGGCCCGTCCTTGAACGATCCGGCGTTAACGGAACGGCCGATCGTTCAAGTTTGAACGATCCCCGCGGTGTCAGGAACCAATGCTGGGGTCGACACGACGCGAACTTGCCGTACTCTGGCTTAAAGGAGGCCACCACCGCCACGTTATCGTCGTGGGTCCTCAGGCACTGCCCATCCAAGCAGAAACAAATGCGCAAAAACAGACTTGGGAGGTTTGCGCGGATTTCTTAGATCGGCGCCAGGCCCCCCTCCCTGACTCGCAGAGCGCCCTGGCGGGGGCGGAGGAGGTGCCGCCAGGGGGTCCAGCGCCGATCCGAGAAATACGCTCGGACTTTCCCAAAGTGTATATTCCGAAGGCCTCACGACCAGTGCCGCCGACCTTGCAGGGAGACAACGATTACACTGGTGGCGGCGACGACGACGACGACGACGACGTTGACGTGGGCCAGAGTCCTCGGGGATGGTTTTTGGGATCTCGTCGCAAGGCTCTCGGGGGCCTCTGGGGAGGAATCCTGGGGCCGGCCTCTCGGGAGCCTCTTGGGGGCCTCTTCGGGCTTCCTGGGGATTGTTTGTGGTACCCTCTGGGCCCCTTGGGAGCCTCTTGGGGCCTCCCGGCAGCCTCTCGGGGCCGAGGGCTCAAACTGTCCGTTCGTGCCCCCCCGTCTGGGCACGCTTTTGGAGCCGTCTTAGGGGCCTCATGGGCCGGCCGTCTTGGAGGCGTTTTGGGCTGTCTTGGGGTTCTCTTGGGCCGTCTTGGGGCCCTCTTGGAGGCCTCTTGGGTCGTGATGGGGTGATTTTTGGGCCTTGCGCCGTCTAGGAGCAGCGGGAAGTGGGAAAGAAGCCAACGGAAAATGAATGAACTCGGCCTCTTGGGGCCCTCTTGGGAGTGCTCTTGGGGCGTCCTGGAGGCCTCTTGCAAATCTGGACGGCGTGAAGGCGTTTTGGACCGATCGTTTGGCGATTGGGGACCCTTGGACCGTCTCGGGGCACTCTTGGCCTGTCTTGATATTTTTTCAGGCCCCAGGACCCCCAGGGAGGGGGATGCGTATCTGACCGCCCACCTGAGGCCCCCCGGACGGGGAGAGATCGAAGGGAAGGGGCTTCCCTTCGGCTCCAATACGATCTCGGTAGATTTTCTCTCGCTGACAGGCTTGCAGAGGAGGGCGCAGGGAACGGGGACGACGGAGAGACGACGACCGACGGAGGCGACGACTCGAACAGGCCTGCCCCGCACGCGCGCCGGCAGGGTCGGCGCCAGACCCCCCTCCCGGACGCGGGGAGCGCCCAGGGCGGGGGCGGGGGGGGGGGGCGGAGGAGGCGCCGCCAGGTGGTCCAGCGCCGATCCAAGAAGTCCGTGCAAGGGCGAGCCCCGGGGGGTGAGCGAGCTGTCGTGGGACTTGCGCGCCACTCCCTGGGAAGAAGTCTGGAGCGCCAGAGGCCATGCGGTGGCTGGTCGTGCGGTGGGGCTCGCGGGATGGATTTCGAGGTCGTCGCCCCGTCTCTCACGAGGAGTTTTTGTGTGGACCCCCCACTTAAGATCGGTGCTTTTTCGCTGCAGTTCCCCACGCGCGTATTCTGGACTGGAGCATCTTTTTTTGGGTGGCCAGGCCTCTCCGCTCGCAATCTCTTTGGCCGGGATGGATGTGCCCCCTGCCTGGGTTGTCGACCGCAGCGGGGCTCCGAGGGAGGGCCCGCCTGCAGGCTACGCAGTCTGATAAACAAGCGACAATGGTAGACGCAAGCGACAGCAATGCCAACGGCCATGACGGCAGCGTGGTGGCGGTAGCAGCTTGTGAAACAGCTTCCATGATGTGAAACAGCTTCCATGATTGGTGGGTGTGCCCGTTTTCAGTCGGACGAGTTGAAATTTCTTGTTGCGTGCATGGCCAGAGGATGTTGTCTTGCACTGCCCCCAGGCACGATGGGCCAATCAACCCGGAGGATTCGCAGTGTGGTTGTCTGATTGCATAGCAGTTGTCCCTGGCCATCCCTCCAAAGAGGGGAGTCGGCCATGAGAGTGGACGAACATTTCCAGCGCGCAAGGGCTCCCTCAGACTGTTAAGTTTCAGGGCTTGCGATGCGCTTCTTGTATGAGTGTGTAGGTATTCAAGCAGAACGCCTTGCCTTGGTGACCTCAATGAAGACTTTGGCCTCGGCATTGGCAGTGGCAGTGTATGTTTTCAAGTGTCCAGGATGCGTTCGGATGCGCTAAGATGTGCTAAGCGTTTGTGTTTGTCCATTTAGATGTAGCGACAAGGATGCGCTCAGATGCCGTTGAAGCGTGATGTGCGAGAACAGTGAGGCGCCGAAATTGAGATCGGTTCCGCCCCGAGGCAGGAGGGAGGGGGAGCCAGGAGAGGGGAATCATCCACTTCCATCCGGCCTCCACGGGTCTGGTGTGGGCCAAGGTCTTGATGGATACTGGCTTCCGTTTGATCAGGATGCCATATCACCAGCGCAGGCTCCATTTCGGTCCCATCGATCCGTTCGATGCCGATTCTGGTCAGCTCGACCCGATTCGGCCCTGGTACTCCGCCGATCCGATACGGCCCGATGCCCCGATGCTTGCACTGCGCTGTCGTGCACCCTGTCGATTCGATTTTGGCTCCGTGCCGATCCGGCCCGATCTTCAGGTGTTCGATCATGGACCCTTTCTCAACTACAGATATCCAGCTTTCGCGCCAGAAGCCGACGAAGACCGCCGATGACCGTCAGAAAACCGCCGAAGACCGCCAGACGATCGCCGAAGACCACCCCGGGCTGGTGGGCAACAGGTGGTCCATCGTCGAATGTGTAACGATCCGACGCACGTCCTGATTCGGTCTGATCTTCCGTCTCTGTTGAAGGGGCCCTGGGACACACAAATAAATACACACAAATAAACATATTCCCTTATATTTTCCCATATTTTCTGGGTTTCTGTCTATTTTCCTATATTTTCTGGGGGATCGACGATCAATTGTGTCTGTGTGTTTTTTCCCCTCCTGATCTGCACTGGCTGATCCTGCCGGCGTCGGGCTTGAAGGTCAGGCCCGTGGAGGCCCTGTGATGTGGCGGGCAGCGGGGGCGCCCAGGAGGGGGGCGAGGACGAGCAGGGCCACCCTGAGCCAGGGCACTGCGGACCACATAGGGGGGCAGGCAACGACACAGTCATAACGACTCGGAGGTCCGCGCGGACTCCTCACATCGGCGCTGGGGCCCCCTGGCGGCGCCTCCGGCGCGCGCCCGGGAGGAGTCCAGCGCCGATCCGAGAAATCCGCGCGGGCCTCCGAGCTCCCCTGAACCAGGGCGTCGACGATGCCATCTGGAGAGCACGAAGGATGACGGACGTCTCGATCCACAGCCTGCGTTCGTCCCGGGCGCGCCCCCGTCTTCGTTCGTCCATGTCTGAGGGGGCCCGGGGACCGTGCGAGGGGTCAGTCAACCCGCGTGGGGAGGATGGGCAACGTTCCCAAGGGTACCCTCTTGCATCCTCGTCCCTGCGGCCCATTCTTAGCGGCTTTCGCGGGCCAACCTCGTTCGACAAAGGTTCACCTGGCCCTCCAAGGCCCTGGCATCCTTACCGCGCAGCCTTATGATGCGGGTCGACGGTAGATGTGATGGCCAGGGCCATGACGGCTCTCAGCTATCCGGGCATTCCCCCCGCCTGCGCGCCTGCTTTGGGCCTGGAGCTGCTGGCCCTTCTCTTGGGCGCCCCCCTCTTGGGCGCCCCCGTTGGGAGGGCGGCGTGGTCGGATCGCAGGCAGGAGGCCGCGGGGGGGGTGTCGAAGAAGAGAACACGCCATAGGCGTAAACTTTTGGCGCTCCGCGTCCTGGATCCGCGCCGGGCCCCCCCCTCCAGCGGCGCCTCCAGCGCCGCCCCTGGCGCCCTCCGCCAGCGCAGGTCCAAGAGGCGGAGCGCCGAAAGTTTTATGTCTATGGTGTTTTTCTGTTTTTCTTACAGTGTTGCGTCGGGCCTGTCCCTGTATAGGACTATTCAAAAATAGTACAGAGAATCAGGGGACGATTTGTTAGATGGTTGAGACTATTTGTGAGTATATTTCGATCGTTTTTGCATTTGTCATCCAAAACCTGCTTGTAGGAGGACACGCCCGACCTAATTCTAGTGCGGGGGGGGGGCGTGCAGCGCCCGCCCTTTTCAGCAGCCCACCACCCGCCCACTCCCCCCCCATTCGGGGAGGAGAGGTTGCGGTGAAGAGTCGGGTCGGCACCGTCGAAGCGGGCACGTCAGGTCGGGGGGGGCTACAGTGGAGACCCATGCCAAGAAGCGCGCTGCTTGGCTCCAGGGTGCCCTGGGTTTCTTGGGTTTCGATGGTTTCGCGATGGAAAGTGTGACGTTCTCACACCAAGAGTCAATGGACGTCCTGGGGTCTCAGGGTTGGGTTTCTTGCGGAAGGTTCCTTGTGGTCGAGCTCCTGCTGTATGCGCAGGGGGGGAAGGCGCATCGGCCGCCAATCGCCCACTGGTCGCCGCTGGGGGCCCCATTCGCCCACTCCGCCCAGGACCGTGCGGAGTCGCTGTCGGGGGCCGATCGCCGATCTATCGGCGAGGCAGCGCCGATTTTGTCGCCGAGCCCCCCCCTCGAGCCGGTCCCCCCAGTCGTTCCCTTTCCGAGAAGGGCAGGCGACGACCGACGGCAGTTCCCGTGAGCAGGGCTCGCTGTCGGTGTCGCCGCGGTCACTGCCCGGTTGAGACAGGGATGTCCCTTGTGGCAGCCGCCGCTGTCACAGCTGCCGCTGTCGCGCCTATTAGTTCCCGTACCCATCTCGGGCGTGCCAAGCGGGGTCTTGAGGGAACGGGCCACCGTCTTTGCCCCTCCCCGTCCCCTTTTTGTTGTTGGGTCTCCATGTGTTGTTGCTCGTTTTGCTGTTTCCAGACCCTGGGACCACCCTTCCAGGGCCGAGCGCTGCGAGATGGCTCGTCGGCATGAGAATCATGTCTTGGGGAAGCTCCAGGGCGCATGACCCGTCCCCCCCCCAATCACCATCCGGGGCAACGACAGGGGGGGAGGATCAGGGGGGAGCGACGCCGACGACGACGACGACGACGACGACAACGGCTGCGGCGGCGGCGGCTAACACATGAGGCTTCCAAGAAAAGGCTTCGCCTTCGAGGATCGAAAGAAGTGTCACCTACGGCGGAAGGCGGCGAAAGGACATCGGAAGCCTGCTGAAGTAAAACGAGGCCGCCTCCTTCGGCGGAAGGCCAGCGGAAGCCGGCGGAAGTAAAAGATGCGCCCCCCAAGAGATGGCGACTTTTTTGGGTTCTGGGTTTCAGGACCCCGCCACATGACCCCCCACGCGCCCATTCATCGCCGATGGGGTCCTGACAGCCCACCCCGCCCAGGAACGCGCGGTGTCCCTGTCGGGGCGTCAGCGATGCATCGCCTATTTCGAGATTTTGCTCCCTCCCTTCAGCCAGCCCCCCCCCCGTCGCTCGTTCCCTCTTCACCCCCTTGTCTCTTTCAGCAAACCCTGAGATCCGACGTCTCGAGTAAGCTGAAACATAGTGAAAAATCGCGACCGAATCCCCAGGCCCCATCTCTCTCTGCCACATGTCTCGAACCGGATCCATCCGTGAGGGGCCCCGGGGCCCGAAGCGGGGCGCAGGCGCCCAGCCTGGCAGAAATGAGACGCCAGGGCTTCAGCGGGGAAGAGGCGAGCGGCATTGGTGATGCCTGCGCGCGCCCGCTTCGGGTTCTGCTGGGCCAGCTCCCGTGCCACAGCGTGGCCTACGGAATGGCACTTTCGCGGCCCCCTGCGCCGCCGGTCTGGAGCTCCAGCTGTGGCAGAGGCCCTGCGTCCCCCTCCTCGAGGCTGCGGAGACGGCAGAGCAGTACACGCCGATCGCTGAGAGTTGGCGGCATTTCTGGACTCCCAGATCCCAAGGGTCAAGCACCTTCCCCCTTCAAGAATGAGTATGTGTGTGTGTTGTGCTTTGTTGCTCTCTGGGCGGGCGCGGCTCCAGTCCACCTCGTCCGCCTTCCTGCTTCACCTTTCCCGCCCAGCTCCTCCGCCTGGCGGGTGACAAGGGCACCCGGTCAGGGCCAGCTCGTGCCGCGTTGGCGTCGTGGCTCGTCGGCGCGCCGAGGGGGAGGAGGGGGCGAGGGTAGGGAGCCAGATGCGAACCCTACCCCTGCCCCCCACGATTTCTGAGGGGGAGGGTGGGGTTCACTTCGCTCGGGAGCTCCCGAGCGAAGTGAACCCCACCCTCCCCCTCAGAAATCGTGGGGGGCAGGGGTAGGGTTCGCATCTGGCCCCCTATTGTGGCTCGTCGGCGCGCCGAGGGGGAGGGGCGATGGGGGGCCAGGCCTTCTCGGGCGGCGCGGCGGGGCTGCTCGGGAGAGCCCGCCCGCCGTGCGAGGGGCCGCCTCCGAGCCTTCGGAGAGGGGGCCCGGGAGAGCTCTCGGAGGGCCGACGGCCTCCCGAGCCTTCCGCGCCCGTCCCCAGGGGGAACCAAAAACATTGGCATAAGCATAAGAAAACTCGGAGGTCCGCGCGGATTTCTCGGATCGGCGCTGGGCCCCCCTGGCGGCGCCTCCGGCGCCGCCCCTGGCGCGCTCCGCGCGCCAGGGAGGGGGGTCCAGCGCCGATCCGAGAAATCCGCGCGGACCTCCGAATTTTTTGTATGTTTGTGCCACTTTGTATTCCCCCATTTCACTTTTATGCCACTTTTTATTCCCCTATGGCACTTCTTCATGTCACTTCTTTTTGTTTATGTTTATGCCACTTTTTGTTCCCCTATGCCCCCTCGGAACGCCGCCGAGCGGCAACCCCAGGCGCGGGCACTCGAGGTCCGCACACGATGCACACCTGGCAAAAGCAGCAGCGGCGGGAGAGCGATGCACACGATGCGCGTGCCCCCGCAGCGACGCTGGCGCGACGGGAACCCGCCGCACGGAGAGGAGGACGGTGGGCAGATTTGCGCCGGTATTCCGTGACACCCTACAGGCGGGGCGCTAAACAAGGAAT